AGCTCCCAACCTTTAAAATGGGATTATTGTCAGGATCCCTGTAACCCCATTTCGTATGCCCAGCTCTTGTTTGTGGTCACTGCCTTGCAGATGGGACATCTGTGGTGGTGGTGGTGGTTTCAAAAGAGCCCATACGACTGAAGCCCTGCCCGTCGTAAAAGGGGTCAGGCCTTCAATCACAGGGTTCGTGGCTGCCATCTTGACTTCTGACCCTCCCCGAGGACGCCCCTTCTCACAACTTACAGGGCATCATCCTCGCTCTCAGCACACAGCATGGTCTTGGGGCCATCCCTTTGCACGATGCACATCAGGCACTCGCGAGTTTTCCCTTCGGGAGGCTGGATGTCTGTAAAGACAGGAGAGGAAAATAAGCAGAGGGCCGGAAGGAGTTTTTGTTTCTGTTTTGACAACCAGCAAGCTTCTAGACCTCAAGGCTGCACGGCTAAGCGTGGATCAGCTCGAGGGGATCATGCTAAACCAGACAATCAGTGGGAGTTTTCCTTAATCCTGTCTGCTCTTCATTAAAACTGTGTTGGAAATGCTGATCAAAATATGTAATATTATTAGGAATGGAGCTTTTTCATTACTGTGCCTGGGATCCACATCAGACTCCAACAGTCTTGCAATTAATCAAGGGATAATTACGGCGCTTGTCCCTGCTAAAGCTGCGTGAAACACACCCTGGGTCCCAGAGCTTGCAAAATGCCCACTGTTTGGAGGTGTCAGCCTTAAAAACACGTTTCTTCAGAAAGACATTTGGGGGGAGTGAGATCAGGTACCCCCCCCGACATTAGAGCATCGTTCATTCCAGCTGGGCCTCCTTCCTTGGTAACAGCATCAGAAGCACCCCAATAGCAACATAATAGGGGAGAAATTCCTTTAGGAAACAACCTGTTAGCCCTGCAAGGTAGTCCAAACAAGAAACACAACCAGGAGTAGTACTAGCTCTATCTTTATGGTAAGGCTACATTAACAGAATCTTGCAAGACAAAAAGTATTTCTTTCCCTCCTTTCCTTTTACTCTCCAGAAAACTAGGGAGGGTTGGAGGACAGGGGGAAGAGCCGCAGCCAGGGCAATGGTCAGATAAGAGGCAGCTGAGCCCGCAGCAGGAATGGGGGTGTGGCAGAGGTCTCAGAAGGGACCCTCCCTAGTTTTTGGGAGAATAAAAGCAAGGGACTGGAGAGGGACTTTCAGATTTGCAAGATTCTGTTAATGTAACCTTACAATAAAGTTAGAGCTAGGACTTCTGGGTGTGGTTCTTGTCTGGACTACTCGTAAGGCTGACATCAATCTTGCAAGTCTCAGAGTACAATTCTCCCCCATCTTTACAGCCCAAGAAACTGGGGAGGGTCCCTTCTGAGATGTTTGCCACACCCCATTCCTTCTGAGGCTCAGCTGCCTCTTATCTGACCATTCCCCTGGCTGTGTCCCCCAAGGTCATTCCCACATAACATTACATCACACATACACCCAACATTTTTAAAGACGCTGAGGTCTGGAAGTCTTGTTTAAATACAGATTCTTACAATCTTGACTGTCATAGTCCAGTAAAAAATGCTTTCCTTTTGGTACAACAAGTCAAAGGGGTACTCCTGATAGAAATTGGCAGCAAACACAAAGAGCATACAAGTAGTCCTTGACTTACGACCACAATAAGGACCAGAAAATTCATTGTTAAGCAGGGCAGTTAAGTGAGGCATCACATGACTGCACCCGATTTTATGACTTTTTTGCTATGATTGTTAAGCAAATCACATGGTTCCCTATTGACTATGCTTCTTGGAAGCCAGCTGGGAAGGTCGCAAATGGCGATCACGTGACCCCAGGATGCTGCAACCATCCAGCAGGATGCTGCAAGCCAGTTGCCAAGCACCCGAATTGTTATCATGTGACTGCAGGGATGCTACAATGGTCGTAAGTGCGAGGACTGGTTGAAAGTCACTTTTTTCAGCACTGTCATAATTTCAGTCACTAAATGAATGGTTGTAAGTCAAGGACCACCTGTATTATTTATATATTCCCAAGAAAAATGCCCCACATGACAGAGACGATGTACCCTTGAGAGGACAATCCTAGATTGGAAATTCAGTAGTGGCAGGGAGATGCGACCTCAGGGCTATGGATGGAACTATGCCCATTGTTGATCTTCCCAACATCAAGTAGTTTTTAAAATAAAGTTGTTGTTGTTGTGTTTTGGGTTTTTTTTAAAGCAAAGAACACCTCCCAGGAGGAATGCTAGTCAAATGTCTCTGAAGCATTCCCCGCTGGCTGTTGCAATGCAAGAGAGTCGCAGAATAATTAGGACCCCGGGGAGGAGCTGCCAACTCCAGTCACAGGGAAACAAACAGCACGGGATTTGGCAGCGCTCCTGGAGGCCCCCGGGGACAGGGAGAAATTCAAACAAGAGCTGCTATGCTGACCCCAGAGGGGCAAAACCTTAGCCTGCACGGGACACAAAACAGAGGCCCATCAGAGACCCATTGCCTCCCGGGAAAAGATGCCAGGATCCACCATCAGAGAGGCTGAAGGACCAGCCAAGACATGAGCTCTCTCCAAAATCCAGATGCTTAAAGTTCTGGCGGGAGAGCAGCTGTAATGATACGTGGGAATGACCTTGGGAGACAGGAGGAAGAGCCGCAGGCTAGGTAACAGTCAGATTAGAGGCTGCTGAGTCCTCAGCAGGAATGGGGATGAGGCAAAGGTCTCAGAAGGGACCCTCCCCAGTTTCTTGGCCTGTAAAGGCGAGCAGGGAGAGGTGTTCTTTCAGACTTGCAGGATTCCGTTAATGTAAACTTACAATAAATTACAGTAATGATGGTAGTTCATCTGGGCGTGCTTCCTATCTGGGCTACCTCGCATGGCTGACAGCACCAGAGCTGTATAGCCAGAGTGCGTGCCCAGCTCTTCGGAACCCTCCATTAGAAATGAGGAAGAAACATGCTGCTAGTCCTCAGTATTCAAATCTGGCATGGAGCCGGCCACTCTTGTATTTCTTAGATTTACATCCTGCCCTTCCTCCACCAGTTTTTCACTCACAGCCTTCCTGTGAGACAGACTGGGCTGAGAGGCGAAGGCTGGCCGAAGGTCACCCAGGGAGGTTTCCTGGTCGAAGAGGGATGTCAGCCTGGATTTTCCCAGTCCAGCATTTTAACTACTGACCACACTGACCCTTGCTGCAGGGGCCCCCGACTGCAGTCATGGGGAACCTTGCCCGTTGCAACGGGCAGCCACGGATGGTTGCAAAATACCCATCTCATAGAAGGCAAGCCAGCTGCACAGAAATTAGGGGAATTTGTAAGGCCCAAAGACAGGGTGGGCAGTTCTTCTGTGGCCATAAATAAAAGAAACTTAAAAAAAAATCCTAACCCTGCCTGTGATTCCTACCTGGGGCTCAGCAAGATTCTGGGGGCAGCATTAACACTAGAAGTAGGAAAATTTGGTAGTATTGTACTAAAGAGCAGGGCACAGTGAAGGGATATAGGAACGCTAGAAATAGACCAACAAGTTTAACTTCTCTACCATGAAACTCTTTTTGCGGCCGAGCAGCTCTAAGGCAGTGTTTCTCAACCTTGGCAACTTTAAGACGGGTGGACTTCAACTCCCAGAATTC